GTTGTTTTAGAATTTATTAAATATCAAATAGTAAATAAAATAACAAATTCTGTATAAGGTTTTTTTTAATATCAGGAAAGATATTAGTGTATAAAATAATTTAATTTTAGCTAGTAAATTTGAATACTTATTACGAATTGGAATTATAAACAACTGAACAATTCCTCCCAACTTGGAAATAAATTAAAGAGGTTTATCATAAGAGAGTTATTTATAACACCGACGTGCTCCAATAATCAGAAAAAGATCTCCAACGATTGAAGAAAAAAACTATTCTTAATCAACCGAGCATAAACATCGATAGTATAAGTTTTATGCCCCTACGACCTTTTATTACTTTCCAATCAAACTTGTACAATAAATTTGCCACTTCTAAAAACACCAACCATGAGCGGTTCAAGAAGCGAAACATTTTAGAAATATAGTTTAATATAACAGTGTGTCAGATATATGTACGTATAGATTATTTTTTACATACTGACTACGTGGGGTCTTCGTTACAAATTAGTGGACATAAGTTTTGTATACAAGTCGCAGCAAATATTTTTGCGAAACATAATTTGCAGCTTTTCATATTTGGATGTATTATAATTGTTTTTTTTTTTTTCTATACAGAATTGCATCTGTGCTTATGTTCTTTCTTAGCAGTAAGCCTTAGGAAGGTTTGAACCATTGAGGCCCTCTATGTTTGAACTTAAAATTGCATTATAATATACTCTATCATCAAGCGTATTGTACGGTAGACATATACGTCACTAAATGATAATTCCTCATCACAACCCTAGTGTATGTTGTACAATAGGTTAATTTACGTAAGATACGTAAAAGCGTAGACGGGTGCGACGAGTGTCGCAGTGTTTACCAAGAAACTTACGACGACATAATATATTCCACGCAATTGCTAACTTACTCCCAATTCAAAATAGATAAACAGCTACAGGCCATAGATTAAAACAGACAGATAGGAATGACGATGATGATGAGTAGTAGTGTATGTTACTTAAAAGAACAATTAGAAATCTTAATTTCATTTTAATTTTTCCTCTTTTAATGTAAATATTGACACTTTGACCTTGTACGGTGTATGCATATCAACAACCCTGTATCATCCTGTAGGCGTTGTAACAGGCGACAGAGGTAAAAAATCAGGAAATGGGCAGCAGCAACTACCTGCAACTAAACACAAAAAACTTCGGTTGCCAATCCACTTGACAAGACAAACTATGGCAAATATTCCTCTACGAAGCAATCTATGGGGGAAGCCCATGTTAAGCAGTGTACTTTTAATGGGCTGTAACGGTAACGATATTGTGGCATTTAAAATTTAGTAGATTGTGTTTTTAATTAATTTAATATCAGTTTCATATTTTATTTCTACAGACATTATCACATATTTCTAAAAACGAAAGCTCAGAGGCAAAATGCAAGCAAGCCATTCTTGGAGCTTAAGTATGAATTGAAGGATAATATATTAAGCGTTTATTTCTGTTGTTTTCGTTTGGAAGTTGCCCGTTCCGATTTTGCAGTACGCGTCAACGTAGCTCGAGCGAATTTATTGCTATTTGCAGTGCGGACTTTCTGTTTTCACATGTCACTGGTTGTATTTCGCAAGTTCAGACTTCGGTACAACGCTGTGAACCGAGTTTGTGTTAAAGCTCCGTTGAAAGAGAAAATATATTTTTCTTTTAGCTGTTCCAACATGTCAAATAAAAGAGAATATAGCACGACCGTTTTATATTCTTAAAACAAAAATATTAGAGAAATGATCGACCATTGAAACAAAAATTATAAACGTTCAGGTAACATTTGTATATACAGAGAGGTAATTCTCTTGAGCAACAGTCGCCGTTCTCCAGCATAATGGTGCCATTAAAACGCCACCCACAAGTGTAGAGCAAATTGCATTTGCCGACATGGCCACGTATTTTACAATCAAACCTTGATTTGCGCCGAACTGCCAAGAGTGCATTAGGGTACATAAATTTGCTTACCTTAAACGATAAACCTGAACACGGAAAGGTTTTACAAGAAATTGATTTGATTGTGAAAGCACGTTAAGTAGTTGATATATAAGTAGATGAAAATTTGTTGACAGCTCATGAAAGAATTGACTATTAATATTTATTGCAAGTTTAAAAAATAATACATAAAATATTTAACTATATTTTTTATCCGTTATAAAAACTAAAAGAAAATTCTGGATAAGATTTCCCTAATTCGTATCGCGAGAAGCCTTCCGTGATTGGAAGTTGTAAGAGAATCAACCTAATAGTAGATAAGCACGAATAAAAAGCTAGCACTAGTCTTGCACACAGCGCCTTTTTATTTCTAGGAAGTGCCTAAAGTAAATTAAAAAAACGGGTGAAGCGAGTTTTTCAGTCCCAATCGTATAATCTAACAATCGGTTTGGAGAACGGACAATCACAATTTCAGTAATAAAACGAAACGGAGGTTTGGTGCAACCTTGGTAGAGTCAGTTGCCATACTCGCCATGCATGCATGAAAAAACAGCAAAAACTCGGTTCGACACAAGTTCACAATTCGCTCACAGTACGGATTATAATGATCCGTAAATTCCACCCTTCTTTTTTAACAAACGCAAGTTTTTTTTTTAATTATCTATCTTTATAACAACTTAGAACGCGAAACGGCAAATATTTCACAATCGCTATTGAATTGCAATTACATACAATTATCATGTTTTGTAGACTATCATCTCGTGACTTGGCAATAGTCTTAATTGCTGGGCCCATTGTGGTTTAAACTGTTCTGATATGCAATGATACAATACTAATTAATCACTTCCTAGTGTTACAGGACCTCGTTTTAAAATTCCAAGCGATTGCAACGAGGAAAAGATGAGATTGGTGTGGCGGAAAATCGTTTTACTACCCTTAAAACAATATTCCTGAATAATCCGCGACAAAATCGGCAGCGCGAATGACCCAAGATTACAATTTCCTAGTAGTGAAGGCGCATCACACGAGCACAGAGTACGTATTAACGTAGCGAATACGAGAAAGGCCACTCACACACGCCAAGAGGATGACTAAAAATATTACGAGTTGACATTGAAATGTTAATGCACTCTCGGGGTACGCTGGCGCATTTTACGGATATTTCGCTCGATTCTCTGCACCGCAAATAAAATTGCATTTCGCTTTTTTATTTTATCGATTGTTTTGACTGCTATAGCTTCATTTGCGAGCGCTATCGCGTGATAGAGTGTATTTTATGCGATAATGCGAAAAAAATTATATCGGGTGTCGTTGCTCCCATTGCGTTATGCTTCGACGTCATTTGTTGTCAGATTCTATAGTTGTTTATCTGCAGCGTATTTTTATTTCCTTCTTTTAGTTTCTTATTATTAAACTCACGGCTAATTGTAGATTCTTTTCATTTTTATGGCCACTAAATTTGTTCCACTTCCGAGTTAACTTCCCTCATTAAATGATGCTTCAAAGAATACACGTGTAATATAATTTCAGATTTTTACGTAAAATTATTAACGACGTGATTTAATTTACATATTTTTAATACTTCAAAAGATTCTTGAAAATCCTATCGGTTCATTGAAGTGACTTTGGATAGTTGTAGTGCGTGACCACTTTATCAAAACATCGTTTTGTCAAAGAGTGTTTATTCGATTATTTTAGGGGCCTTTGAAATATTTTAAAACTAAAATTGATTTTGTTTTTTAAAGTCATGCTTCGGTTACAAGTTTAAAGAATAATAATAAGTAAATTTTTATTTATAATATGATTTGCAACTTTTTTTGCTAAATTGATTTATAATTTTTTCATACGATAATCTTGCAATATCCTCGTGGGATTTTCGTGTTACCCCAGGGCTTCAGTCCAGTCCATCGCATGCTACAACATCATTATTCCTCGTTAGTAACCCGTTTAGCGAATTGAATTTCTGACTGTATAATAGCCACGTTGGTCAATAGATGTTTATTATGATTATCTCAACGATAATGGGCCAACCCTTTTTAACAGTCTGCAATTATCAATGTACCTACAGATTGAGGTTTTAATGAATTCAAATGTTTGAGTACTTTGTGGAATATTTGTAAAATATTTTTTTATTATTATCAAAGGAAATCGTTAAACTATACAATTCAACTATGTGTGTGCCACTCTCGATACTGTTTAATTGCATTTTAAAAATCATATTTTGCCAATTAAAAAAATATTTTTTACAATAAATATTATTTTGAAAATGGGAATATAAATTGGGGAATATTCTTGCGTATTTTCAAATTTGTTTTTAACTATTTATCTTTATCATTTAGGTAGTAGATATAACGTCAACGCTAAAAACTTGTTTACGAAACAATTCTAAAAATATTTTAAAGTGCGTCGTTTTCCCGATAAATCTTATTACGACGGAAAAATACTTTGGATTTGATATTGTGAAAATATTTTTCAACTAAATTTAAGTCTTATAAAAGTTTTTGGCATTTGTTTTTTAACTTCTGGCGAAATTTTATAGGAAAGTTGTATTTTTGACGAAGTTACGAAATTCAAAGCAAGTTCCGGAGTTAATTTAATGAGGACATGTCTTTACCGAACTTTTGAAAGATTAACACTTTTTCTCACTGTATCCTTCAAAATTAATTATTAAAAGGTTGGGTCATATTTTGACATTTAATTAAAGATTTAAAAAACAGAAGAAAAATTTTAAAATTTTTAACCGACTTTTGACGATATTTACTCCTGACAGGTATTAAGTAAGTTGTTATTTTTTATTACTTAATTCTTGTATTTACAAACTTTATTTAGGGTTTATTATTTTTAAACGGTTAATAGTAATCAATTAAATTAAATTGTATTTTTTAAAATTTTTTACTGTTTTTATTTTATATTTTTTTATCATGGTCGCGATAAGTGCCTAATTATTTAAATGTCTACAAAGTCGTTTTTTTATTGTTTTATTTGGGTTTGATTAGATTTTTATTAGATTACATGGGACTGATTTTTCACACTTCAACTTACCTGAGTTGCATCAGTGTACGGTGTGGAAGAGTTCTTGTCGACCAGTTGCGAACCAAACACCGGGACGCCGCTCGACGTAGGCGTCAAAGACCGCACTTCTGATACTTGCTGGGGCACCATTTTGCGTTAATCCAAATAAAAAATAAAACCCCCAGAAACTAAACACAAAACACAGTTCACGTATTGCACTTAACACTAGCGACTGACGTTCGCAAAAAAATTTTTTTAAGTTTTTTTTTCAAGTTTATAAAAGTCCGAATGGGGAGATAAGCAGTAGCTTCTTGGAGCACCGAAGCCTCTCGGCGGGCGCGAAGCCGTCGATCTCCCAGTACCTGGACACTATCCTCAATGCCCGCTCTAGAACAAGTGATCTGTCGCTGTCTTCTTCGCCTGCGATCGGTCCAAAAGTCATAATTTCAGCGGGACGGGACCGCACGGTGAGCACAGCGGCGGTTGCATTAAAGGCGGCTACGTGCGCACTCCGCGATGACAGTTAATGTACTAACGCGGCGGCAACGTGCGGAGTGCTGTCAATATACCCGCTCAGCTGTTCGCCCCGCCCCCCGCGCCGCGCACGCGCCCCTCGCTCTCCCCGCGTCTCACTTCACTCGCGCGCGTTCAGAAGACTTGAGCGCACGCTTGTAGTTGATCGTATGTCGTGATGGTTCGCACGCGCTCAACGTCTTGACGTTGACGACGACGTCTCGCATGATAAGTATAGTGTAGACTTCCCGATGCCAAATGATCTTGTGCCACACATAATACTATGTTTTAATTTGCGTCAACAAACAAGTATTCCCCAATGATATACATAATATTATATATGAATAAACTCATTCGGAATAAGAAACGAATTCAATTTATATCAATATTATACGTAAATATTACGCCCTTCACATTATTAATGAAGGAGGATACTAAGGTACGAACGAATTTCGTTTTCGTGTCAAAACAATTAGTTTTGGGCTTTTTCGTTTTCAGCCATTATTTTGTATTTCTTTAACCGTGCGCTGAAAACTAAAATAAATAATCGTCTATTATTATTGATTCAGTTCAGCGGGTCAAATTTATGCAGACGCGTTTTTATTAATTATTATTTTTAAACTTTTATTAATTAAAAAAAATACTTATACTTGATTACATTAAGTTATAATTATATTTTGTACTTGATGTACTTAATCGCAATGAATTGTTACTTGTTTCAAAAAACAAGTTGTTTCGTAGTTGATAAATTATACTATTGAACTAAATACGAATAAGCGATTTCAATTTAATTTTAAAACAATAAACAATAATATTAATTAATATAATTAAAGTTATATACTAATTTTTTTTAATTCATTAGCACTTAAAATTTTTTGGTTTTGGTTGACGGCCGAAATTACAGATCATCGTACCGAATTTCGTATTTTTTTTGCCGCTAGAGATAATCCATTTTCAATCGGACTCTAGAGGTTGCCTCAACATAATCCGAAAAGAATCTTAATTAAATAGCGTACCTACATAATTATTGTAGCTAATTATTAAAGAAGAATTTTGACTTACTTAAATCATTAATTTCCGTTAAAATTAAAGAAATTTTAATTATTGCGTAATATGTATATATATATATATATATATATATATATATATATATATATATATATAATTTTTGTAAAGAAAAAAACCACCTATGCCAATCTTACGAATATGGTTATATAATTATTTTGTTACATATAAAAAAACTTTGGAGTTACGTCTTTTTACTAGGGATACTTCTGGTATTGTAGAGGCATTATACATACTTACATAAATTGTACATAGATAATATATTATTATTTCGGGAATTAAACTTTCCGAACTATTCCAATAACAGAATTTATAGTATGCAAAACTGTCTTTTAATTGCCTAGGCACCTATATTCAAAACTATTAAAATGCAACTAAAAAAAATATAAATGGTCAAGGTAGCTCGCTGCTATTTGAACTCTGCCTACACCCTCGAGTAATTAATAGAATCACGCGTTACGGAAATCCATTTTATTAAAAATTTAAAAATATAATTAGCTGAGATGCGCGTGATAAAATAAAATGATGTGCCTTACCTAATATCAAAAGCACCTTCTGCCCTCCCTCAATTGCGTGCACTAGCCCCGTCACCACTTATCCCAGTACCACTATTCCCAACGCGACTATACTAGGAAAGACACACCACTGCCACTATTACGACACGTGTTTCACCTCTAAACGAGACGTTCTCAAGTCAAGTAGACTCTCCGGTGGCTGACCACTAAGACTTAGGTACCTCACTGAATTTTTAATATCTTTTATTTACACCATCAGGAACGAGAGGCATAATTTAAATTAAATAAATTATTTATAAAAATCGCTATTGCGATTTTACTGTTGTAGGTACTAGAAGCGATAAGTTGGTCTTGTTTCCGCTCCGGCGTTGCATTACGTTAATCGCAACGTAATAAGTCTCACAGTGTCACGCATATCAGCTGATGCTGATTTCTGTTTTCCACTCAATTTGGCACAGATGAACATGCGTATCGTTATGGCTGTGGGTTCGAACCTTGTATATAACAAACAGTTTGTACGGTCTACAAATAATTCTGGACCGGCAGGTTGATTATGAAGAGAAGAAGTCGTAGTCTCTGCCTACCCCCCTAAGTAACAGGCGACCTTAGGGACCTTCAAGAAACAAGCTTACTCCTTTGTCATGCATATGCATGGTGCTGCAGTTGTTCATGGTAGGTTCCATAAAAAAATAAAAATAACAGTTGTATTCAGAATAGTACCTACCCAGATGTTCTCCTAGGCAGAATCAGGAAGTAAGAAAATATTACACATACCAACACGACTACGTCTTAATTTACATATTTCCCATGAACGTTTAATAATACTAGACGTTACCGAATGTGACGAAAAGGGGTCGCACTCAGCATTTGGCGTGGCGAACCACAGTCGCTGTTTTTCAGTGTAGCTAGTTCCGACAAATTCGAAAAGAACAACTATCATAATATAGACTTAGTACCTAATTATAGTCCCTTAAAGTTAATAAAGTAAACAATAAAAATAACTATTTTTTAAATATAGAATTAGGGTAACAAACATGCACACAGTCCACCTGATGGTAAGTAGATTATGTGGCTCATAGGCATCTACATATATCCTCGATTAAGAATGAAAATGCAGACGTGTTGTCACCCCTGAGGACTATGATGGAATGCCTTCGGTGCTCTATACTCACCATACGAAACACAGCAGCATTGAGCTGCTATTTTACGCTGGTATTCTGTGAGAGCGTGGTCCTTCCCTGGTCATACAGCCGACCCATTCGTGATGCAACTTTAATACAGCTACAACATGGCTCTAGCATGTGTAAAAAACTTGCGGCATGGCTCTACCACGTGCCGCAAACTTTAAATAAATTGCAATAAACGCCTGACCTGACTTTCCTTTGACTACAGGTGGATATAGTAGCATGTTTGCATGCGGGCCAGGCAGATGGCGCTCGATTGTGCCGCAAAGCTAACTTATTTTAATTATTTATGTGATACGTGTTTGGAATGTCACACACGCTGAGCTAACTTTGAATAAAATAAAGTATTAAATAATGGGGACGTTCTTACAGCTGGTTTCAAGCAAAACAACTTTAATTTTTATATTTTTTTCGACTGTTTTACGATTTGTGGTTTTTTGAATCTTTGCATGAATCGATCGATGTGACTAAACATAGTTCCATTTAAGTCCGCTAGAGGCGCTATTAATATTTCCATGCAGTTTTAGTCTATGATGATACGAAAACGTTAGTGTAAAAAACTTGTGATAAAACGTCACTCGCGGGATGTACTTGGATGATGGGTTCTCTTACACAGGCACCATACAACGACTAATGAAAGCTAATAATCTCCAGCTCACCAGATGTCGCTAGTTGAAACTGAGGTGAAGTTCTCTGATTCACTATGTCATTTAATTAAGAAGTTAATTTTAAATAAAATTTTATCAGTTTTTTGAGTATTATATTAATATTCAAAACAATGCCTTTCTTTATTTTTCCACTTTTATGAATATCTGTGTGTTTGGTTTATTTGTTTTTAATCTAATTAATATAAAATATATCAAATAGCGCAGAAAGAAACATTACCCTTAACATTTTTCGAACAAATTAACTTCTCCGCTATGAAATCTGTCATATTATATTAACATTAATACACCTCATTTTCAAGTAGCGCTTTTCTGGCGGTAAAAAAGTCATGGATGACCATGATGATTATTCATGTAGCCGTCTAACATATCCAACAGTACAGAATAGACAGAGGTAGTACAGGCTATTCTCTGTAAAATAAAGACAGTAGTAATTATAGAGATAAATTTGCTACAGTTTAGATTCCTAGTGTAGGGGTAACGATTGTTTTTAAAGTAAGTAGACTTTTTGGGGTTAGATAAAGTGACTTTCTACAATCGTAAACGCTAATAGAAAACTATAAGAAAGAAATGGGAAGACATAATATCTCAACATTAACTGAGTTGGCTGGCACGTGACTTTAATTGATTTCGTTTATATAAATTGTATTCTATTAACTTTAACGTTTGTAGAATATAAAATAGGATAACCCCGCAGAAGTTGAAGCAGATTATAGCGAAAATTACAAAAGCTTAAGAAAACATATTAAACTCGAAATTTTACTCGTTCGGTAAGAAGTATTGTCGTTAAGTAACAATCCACGATTAAAATAAAGAAAACTCTGTTAACGTAGTTATTTCGGTTAAATTTTGACAAACTTAAAAATGAGAGTTCAATTTTTATATATTTGGAATGACAAGCAAGCATACAGGACCTGATGTAAAGTAGATTCGATGGCTCATAACATCTATCCTCGATTAAGAGTGAAAATGCAGAGGCGTTGTCACCCATGAGGACTGAAATGGAATACCTATTTTCCAGTAAAATGGTCTCCAGATCTCTACACTTATCATACGGCATTAAGCTGATATTTTACACTGGTGTTCTGTGACAGCGCGGTCCTTTACCAGTCGAGCCGACCCGTTTGCGCTACAATCATAAGCATAGCTCTCTACCGCGAAAAATATTGAAATATATTTTATTTGTAATATGTTATACAATATTGTTG